AGAGACACACACACACACACAGACAGACAGACACACAGACATAATAAGATAAACCTTTATTGATTCTCTGGAATTTCACAATTGACAGTGGCACAAGCGGAAAGTGTTGTAAGAAATAACAACAAGAATAGAAGTCGTATCTACAAAGCGGTGCAATATGAAGCTAAGGCTACAGGTGGTGTAACTGTAACAGAGAATGTACACGATGTCTCTGTTGGATGTTTGACAGTCCACTGGCCCCCAGGAGCCGCTCCAGTGTTTTGAGTGTGAACGAGCTCTTGAGCTCCTCAGTTCAGCACAGAGGGGTCGTCTGTGATGGCTTTGATAGTGCCTTACATCCTCTTCTCAGGCACCGTCCACCTCCATCGTACAACACAGGGACCACCACAGACTGGTAAAACCTTCCTGTAGAGGGTCCGTGTTGTCTGACCAGACCTCCAGGAATTTACAGCTGTCCTCCACCCCACCCCCCAATCACAACAGGGGTGGGGATCTCCTTCTGCGTCAGAACTCCACCAGTTCCTTGTTTTTCTGATGTTGAGCAGTCACACAAGCTGTCGATGGAGTCGACAGTGGAGGAGTCGTCTGAGAACTTCTGGTGTAAAGGGTGATTATGTTGACATCTGTAAACCACGTCACCAGGTCCTGCTTCACCTGCATCACAGCATCTAGTGGACGCACAGCGTCAAACACGGGGGTTAGAGAACTCTGTGGTTCTCCAGGTGTGTGTGTGTGAGTTTATCAATGGTTTTCTATGGATGTATCTTCTGTAAATTTGAATTTAGATTATTTCTGATAATTATTTTTGTGTTTGAGTCTTAACTTCCTCTCACATCATCAGAAACATGAAGGATGTACTAAGAAACTTAAGAGTACCAGTGCAAAGATAAATATATGAACGTGTCAGCTGACGGTACTCAGTTACTTTCTCTCAGTTGTTACAGTACTCAGGTACTTTCTCTCTCAGTTGTAACAGTACTCAGGTACTTTCTCTCAGTTGTAACAGTACTCAGTTACTTTCTCTCAGTTGTAACAGTACTCAGGTACTTTCTCTCTCAGTTGTAACAGTACTCAGGTACTTTCTCACAGTTGTAACAGTACTCAGGTACTTTCTCTCTCAGTTGTAACAGTACTCAGGTACTTTCTCTC